GAGTGAGCAGGTGTGGGATGAGGTCAGGGACTTGGTGATTCTGCTGTGAGGTCAGGGTCAGAACCACTGCTGGAAGGTACAGTGTAAATGATTGGTACACCTGGGTGATGTCTTGGCCCTGTCTGCCTTATTTCTTATAAGGGTTTCCATGCAGCCCCCTGGCTGAGGCACTGTAATTCAGCCTCTGCCTGCCAGCCAACAAATACTTATTGATAGTATATATGGCCCTGCTAGACCATGGCCGGCTTTCACTACCTGACCCTTTTAGTTTTGATTCTTCCCAAACCTACTTCACCCTGCCAGCCTTGGCATGTATGGGGAGCACACATGTCTTGGTGCCTGATGCTGAGGTCAGGCACACAGGATCAGGCGTATGGAAGACCAAGTTGGTGGAAACAACATCAACTTGGCATAAGCTCAAGCAATGTCTACAGTGAAGGGCATCTGTACTTTTAGGCCTAACAGAGGGGAAGCAGACAAGATAAAATATTCCAAGAACGTTTACAGGAATGGGTAGGCATGACGGCTTTGTCTGGTGAACTTTCCAGGCCGGTAGGGCAGGGATGGCGAATAGATTTCAACTTAAGAAGACATTCCAACTGGTAGGTAGGGTTGCTTATAGGGCAGTGTTGGAAAGGATTCTGAGGTCAGGTCTGAGTGCAGAGGGACGAAGCACAGTGACTGATTAAGAATGTGAATGGAGGCTGCAGCAGCAGTGTACATGGTCTGCTGACACTGATCTCCAGAGGCTGGGGGAGGGAGAAGCAGGAGGGATGTGTGGAATTTCTAGAACTGGCCAACCAGAAGTAATCACTTCCTTTGTGAAGCAAGTTATTAATGACTGAGGCATCTGTGGCATGATGGATTGGGTTTGGCGTATGGAACCGGGTTTCATTCCCAGTTCTGCTACTGGGAATGGCTATCCCACTTTATTTCCTGATGGCTGAGAGAGAGGGAAGGGAGTTGGTACTGATTAAGTAATAGCTATGTGCCAGTGAACACTAAGTGCTGTATAGACAGCATATTGTTTCATTCATTCCTCCAAGCCTCGCTTTTCTCAGTTACAAAATGGGAATAACATCATCAATGGGCTGTGTGAATTAAATAAGGTTATGGAGTGAAAGTTCACTGTATACTATAAATTGTTCCAGAACTATACAGTATTAGTGCAATGACAACTTGCACTCAAGGCATAATAGTAGTTAGGCACAGGACTCAGCCTCAGACAGTCTGGGGTTCTGATCCCAGCTTCATTACTGAACTAGATTTTTCCCTATACCCCAGTTTCCTCATACGAAAACAGAAATAGTATCATCTGACAATAGTGATATGATTACAGGTGACAGTGCAGGTAAAAGAGTGATCAGCAAAGTGCTTGGCACATAGTAAGCACTTGAGAAGTGATAACTGCTTTAAAAAACTGTAATTCTTCTTTTAGTATTATTTAAGAAGATCAGATCTTTGCCACAGGTTTCATTCATAGACTCCAATAAAGTTTTTCAATCAGAAAAGTCTGGTGGAAGGTCAGTTTAGGTTTAGGTCTTACAGATCAAAGTTTGAGCCTCTCACCTGCTGACTTTCCCAGAAACAAATGGCAGATGGTAAATGTGGAGGGTTGGCCACTACAACCCAATCGGAAGACGAGCAGCTGTGACGGCACTGCAGACAGTTGGGAATTTGGGTCCTCGGCTGTGTGCCTGTACATTCCACTAACTCTGAGTGGACGGGCAGTTTTCTGTGGAATCAGCAGGGCTGCTGGGTAAATGCTGCACACAGACACTTCCCACATAGGAGAACTTACCACAGGGGGCAGGTGAAATCTCTGCTCTGACTGACACAGGATGGACGAGCAGGGGAGACCATCCATCAGTGTCAGGAAAGATCTGAAGCACCTGGCTAGTCAGATGAAATAAAATAAATTATTTACTGATCTCAGAATCCAGCTGCTCACTTGAATGCTCATAAAGGGTGTGCTGTTTGCTGTCCTGCACTTCGCAGTGGATTCTGCTTCGGAAAGAAAGAACTTGTGGATTGCTGTGTGCAGGGTTTGTTTTTCTTGTCGTTATAATGAAAGGGTGTTACCTGCTTAGCAAGGAGGGAGAGAGGGTCTTAAGTTACAGACCTGAACTTATGCACATGGGAAAAGGAAATGAGCTTATTTCTTCACTGCGTTGATACACTACTCATGGGCACAGTCTATCTGATTGTCACGAAATTCCTTAGGACTACTTAAAGAAGTTTCTGCTCATGATGCTAAAGATGAACTTAAATTCACAATAGAAACAAATGTTCTGATAACATCTGTTTTGAAGCTCCTCAGAGCCGTGACTCTCCACCAGAGGGCACCATGTGTACCGCTGGAAGCATCTAGAGGTGACTGGGACCCAGCTTCTAGTCACCTCCCTTCTGAGAACCACTGCTCTAGGGAGAGATATCTGCATCCCTGTCATCATCCATTTCTACCTGACAAGTCACCATTGAGGCTACAAGTGAAATGCTGCCCACAGAGCCATCATCTAATCTGAGTGATCTGGTTCCATACTTTTAAAATGGTGGCAAAATACGTAATACCGACAACGATAACAACACCACTGAGATAAGCTACCACTCAGAACACAGCTGTGGGCCAGACGCACCCAAAGAGTCTTGAAAGGTAAACATTGTAACTTACAGTTTATAAATGACAAACACTAAGTGAAAAAGGAAGGGACTTGTCTAAGGTGACACTGCAGGTAAGTGGTAAAGCTAGGATTTGAACCCAGTCCTGACTGCAGAGTCTGGGCTCTTTCCACGGATCCTTCTGGGGACCTTTTCCTTTAAATGAAAATAAAGGTCAGAATCTGATGAACTAAAGTCTGGCTTTGTGCCTTCGGAAAAAAGTGGGGGAAAGAAGCCCATGATCAAGGTTATCTTTCCAAGACATTGCTTTTCACCTTGGGGACTAAGCAGAGGTGGATTTGCTGACTATGCTCACCTGGGAAAATCCCTGCCTTGTACCCTGGACCTCCATCTGGACTGTAGTCAGGCTACTTAAAACTAGACCCACTCAGGGAAAGCAGACCCTTTGTTACTGAGAAAGTATGGCAGGCAAACACAAACTGATGTCTGAGCAGCATTCTTATTTTAGTAGACTTTTAATTGAAAATATACCAACAGAAAGTGCACAAATCATAGAATATATATAACTTGACTTTTCCACAAAGTCTATACTCGCATGTAATCAGCACCCAGATCATCAAGAAACAGAGCCTAAGCAGCACCCATCCCAGATGCTCCCCTCCTTGACCGCAGGATAACCACCATCATTACTTACACGGTACGTTATTTTTGAATGTTACATACATGGGGTCATACAGTATGTACTTTTTTTTTTCTTTTTTAGATCTGGCTTCTTTTTGAGCAGTCTTATTATTTTTATTTCTATGAGAGATACCAGGAAAAGCATCCCCAGGAGGAAGATGGCGGAAGAAAGTTTACAAATGAGGAAACAGAGGTTCTGAATCATTTGTCTGCGGTGATACAGCTAATAAACGAGCCCAGGTTTGAACCTAGGCTTCTAACTCCTGAGCCTGTCCTCTAAGTGGTCCACTATGTTGCCTTTCCATGAACAGCTCTCCTTTACAGAAAGTTTACCAACTGTGGGCCTTGTGCTAACTGCTTTCCATGGAGAATCTGACTTGTTCCCCACAGCAATCCTAAGAAGCTGGTACTGCTGATATTCTCAGTTAAACAGAATGGAACTGAGGATCAGAAGGATTCAGACATTTGCCTAATACGGCTGGTTAACGATAGAGCCGTCATTTAAACCAGTTGTGATTCTGATGCCCACCTCTCAATTACTAAGCTGTACTATCAGCATTTTTCAAGTTCCCATTAGTCAAGTTGAGAATATTTGAGGAGACTTTTGAAATTTATTTTAAATTAGCCAGACTAATGTCAACATTAGAAAAGGTTTTATTATGAGCACATACAGAGCATTTGTGAAACAAAATTAGGGAGCCTTAGAGTTAGAGTTCAAACTTCTCTCCTTTATGCATGAAGCACACAGGGCCCCAGGAAGGGGCAGTGTGGCAGAGGTCAGAGGCAGAGCCAGGGTACAGGTCAGCTCCCTGACTAACAAGCTCGGCATCTGTCCCTGCTCCCGCTCCGCCACCATTCTTTGTTAGGGCGCAGATGCATTCAAGCTGGCCAGACCAGGAGTCTGCTCCTGACACCACCACCTAGCTGCTGTGGGACCCTGGGCATGAGACTTCACCTCTCTGCACCTCCCTTCCTGCTCTGTCAGCTGGGGACAGTACTATCACCCACCTCTCAGGGAGGTAAGCAGTGCATGTGAAGCACTCAGCACACTGCCTAATACATAGAGGGTATCTATTTGTAAATGACAGCCATGTGGTGGTGGTGGTGGTGGTGGTGGTGGTGATGATGATGACGACGACAGTGAGGTATTCATGTTATGCTGACTACTAGGACACTTTTCTACTCCTGTTAGGTTGAAGTCAAAACAGAAATTTAGCACTTAATTGGAACAAATTAACCCCAAATATTAGTTGAAAGTTAGTTCCGGATTATCTGGTGAGGATCCAAATATACCTTCTGAGATCATTAAAAAGCTTCCTGAACACAGGCATGAATGAATAAGCAGCGACTGCACCAAGTGAGGAAAGGCCGGCGGCTCTGCCACCCTGCAGTTCTAAGGGCAGCGTGGAAGGGAACCGCACAACAAAAAGGATTACGGAACTCCAGAGAAGTCAATCAGTTTGAAAAGAGTCTCACATTAGTTCTATTTCTAATCTTCTGCTTCATAAAAAAGAAGACAAGACAGAGCCCTCAGGTGGGAAAAAGGATGTACTTAAAATTTCATTGTTTAAACATTTTCTCTGAAAACAAATTACCGCTAGTCATTCAGGTCATGTAAAAGGCGTCCATTGTTTCCTCCCCTATTTCTACATTGACCACTGACATAAAGGGTTCAGTTCATCATTTCTTCGTGCACTTACCTAACTGAACATCGGTTGTGAATCGTAGTCTGTGGATCATGCTGACTTTGAAAGACTTGTAATGGTGGCTGCTAAGCATATCCTGCACTGTAGCTATGTCAATTTGCGAATCCTCCTCAAAAACCCCGTCTGCCCTTGAACCTGGGGAGGAAAAAGCAGTTTAGCACATAAAGATACATGAGGCTTGGCAAATGGTGTCTGCTTAAAATGCTTTGGGATAAATTAAAATAATATGGGCTATTTAATTTGGAGAAGAAAAGGCTGAGCGATGACTTAATAATGCCATTCCAGTAAACAGAGAATGGGAACACATTCATCATCCAACAATTACTTCCACAAACACTGCCTATTCCACGGCAGGCCCTTGGCTGGGCAGTAGGGATACAGAAGGATAGAAATGTTCCTGCTTGCCAGAAGCTCTCGGTCTCCCCAAGAGTAAGTCAAAATCACAAAAGCGGGTGGTCACACTTCTCATTTCTTTTTCTAATAATAATTTTCCTCATCAGAAAAGTAATCCATGCTCCTTGAAGAATCCCTCTCCTTCCCAAGATTCTCAAACTGTCTATCAGCTTCCTCTCCTGCACCCCAGTCTCCACTGGTTCAGGCACAAGCCTGCTCGTGCTCGGATGGCTGTCACCATCTCCTCACTGGCCTTCTAGCCACCAGGCTCTCTCTGCAATCCAGCCACCACAGGACTTTTTGATTCATCTTTCTAAAGCGTTGGTCATTTAGTCACTCATCAAATGTTTAGTGAGAGCTCTGTGCATGGTAAGTACTCTGATATATGATACTGCGGACAATAAGAGGACGGGTGCTCAAGCATCTTGCCCAGTTTCCCACAGCCCCCTGAATGCAGCACACTTTCTTCAGCCACGCAGTCAAGGCTGTCCATAATCTGGCTGAAACATAATTTTTCAATTTCACTTGTCACTTCTCACACATAACTTCTCTCAGCTCCTCCCAAACTCCTCAGACAGCACACAGGTCCCAGTTTTCCTGGGCCTTTACTCATGTGGTACCCTTGGCCTGGAACGCCTCTTCCATCCTTACCCTGGACGTGTCAAACCCCACTCAAGCTAGCTCAAACTCCACCTCCTCCTGAATTCCAGCAGTTGCTTTACACTGGACTCTGGAGCCAGGCAGACCTGGGCTCAATCCTAGCTCCGTCTCTAACTGGCTGTGTGATCTTGGGGAAGTGACCTTACCTCTCTGAACCCTGGTTTTTGCCATCCACAGAATATCAAAAATCATTTAAAGACTCTAACACATAACACACTTAATAAACAGCAGTTGTGATGTTTTTATTCTATTGCCATGTGAATCACATTGTTGACTGGTTGCACTGTCCTAATTTGGAAGCTTTGAGAAGGTTAGTAAAGTTTCTTACTCATCTCTATATCTTCTCCTATAAGCAGTATAGGCAACTGGCATGCTCACACTGAATTTTGCTAAATATATAAGTAATAGTAACAATAGCTGATGTGTGAGTGCTTCCTACACATCAGGCATGGCCCTAAGCACTTTACGCATGAATGTAAGCCTGAGGACAACCCGGCAGGCCCTATAATTTTCTGTTATGCAGATGAGGAATCCCAGGTTTTGGGAGGCTAAGTCACATGTCCAAGGTCACACTAAGCTATATTTCGGTCCCCAGAGTTTGAAACGTGGTCTTCTAAACGTGCAGCTGCTGGTGCCACTCACCAGTGGGAGGGGAGCACGTGCCTGGCAGAGGCTAACCAGAGCAGGGTTCCCTAAGCCTTGTGCTGAGCACCCAGAAACAGTTCCACAGGGAAACCCAGAAAGAACCCCTTGGGACAGAGTTGGAGGAGTAGGAAACTCTAGATTTGGGTATAAAACTGGAAAATTCTGTTACATAACTGGTAGCCTGACAACTACACGCTTTCCTTCCCACAGTTAACTCACATTCACATTTAAATCATGTATTAGGACTCTGCATTCTGTTTTCAAACTCTTCAATTAATTTCAGCTTGGAACATTCTAGCACCTAGAATAGCGCTTTCCCCTCAATAAGGACAAAGCCTCATCCTTAATGTGCCATTCACTGAATGCCTGTGACACAGTCCCATCTTAGAGTGTTTGCACATGTTGTCCTCTCTGCCCAGGTCATCCTGCTCCCCATTTCACTCCTTCCTGGCATGCTCCCTCTTCCTCCTGGAGAGCTCAGCTCGAGTGTCACTCCAGGGAAACATTCCTCGACACCAGGTCCCCAGGTCACTGCACCCGGTGTTTTCCTTCAGAATACCTACCACAGATAGCAATTATCTGTCCCTACCATTAGACTGCAAACCCCAAGAGGGCAGGCATGGTGACTGCTCTACTCACCACTGTAGCCTAGACCCTGGTAGTGCCACCACACACAGGATAAAGCAAGAGCTCAGCGACAATGTACTGGATGGCCACTAGGTGCCACATCCATAAGAAGGTGAGGAGCAGAGAGGCTGAGTGACTTCACATCACAGACTAGGATGGAGCTGCACTCAACGTCTGCAAGGGCCAATGGGTAATCTTGTTTCCTTTCTTTGGACCGCCTATGATTTTGGATAGAGGTGTTGTCATGACCACCACTGTGTCCTGGGGTAATGTCCACATTCCAAACCAAAAGGCTGGTAGAATTTACAATGTCAAATAATAAATTCAATTTTTCTAATGTGCATTTTACTGAAACAGAGCTGCCAAGATATGTTTATTTCTATTCTAGAACCCTTTATATACAAGAGAATTGTGGAGAATTTTGGTGAAATATTAAAACGCTTTCATGTTTTAAAAATCAGCAAAGCCATCTTTTCTGAGAAAATGCCATTATTAGATACAACTTAACTCAAGAACTTCTGTTTATTTACTAATTAGTATTTTCTAAATATTGCAGGTATTTGATTTGGAAAGAGGTAACAGCTCATTATGCTAAAATGCCAATTACTAAAAAGAAAAAAACCCCACACTTAAGAGTTACATTTTATGATGTTGGATTAAAACCAATTTAAAAATTACTATAACGTGACATATAATTTTTTACTGAGCAATTTCAATGCCAGTTGCTAATAAAGCATCTTAGCTGTAAATGATAATTCAGATGCTTTTAGATAAAGTGGTGCATAAATATGGCTGGAAATTGATTTAGCTTCTTACAGAAGCTACTGAAGAATGACATATTTTGTTTAATACACCAGCTAATGTAGTCCTAAAAGCTGAAACAAGTGCCAGTTTTCACTCCTAAATTTGCTGTGGGAGATTAATGAAAACTTTATATTTTGCTGAAATGTTAATAATGGGCAGATGAGATGATAGGATTTTAGTAGAGGTCTTAAAGCTATGGAATAACCAGCAAGGCTTGTCAATTTCCTTATATTAATTTTGTTCAAGTCTTATATAGCTGGAGCTGGCTCAACACACTAATGCTTCTTGCATTGACCTTCTACTCTCTGACAGTGTAAATTCATATCCCATTTGAGGATTTAAGTCCCCCCGATGTTTGAGTGAGTTCTGACCCGTGCCCCAGCTGACAAGGGGCATGTTTGCTTTTATGATGAGAAAGGCTTCCTGGGGAAGCAGAGAAGGAAGGAATGGTGTTGCACTCGCCTCCAGTACCTGCTGCTCACCCCAAAGCAGGTTATCTGCTGAATGGGAACACCTTCTGGTCTCGGAGTTCTGTGCCATTTCTCAAAGGAAGCTCAGGAGGGCCGCTGCTTGGAGATGGCATGTCTGTGTGTACAGATCAGTCAGCCATGCAACCCTCTCCCCATGCTAGCAGTATGCTAGCCTGTGGAGGGACAATGGTGAGGATAAGGCAGGGTCCCTGATCTTCAGGCGCTTACAAATTCACTACAGAACACAAAAAAACCAGCACAAGGCAAGGAGAAGGCCCAATAAATGGTGCATGCAACAGACGCTTTATCTAAAGACAAACATCTGAAGCGGAGCGTTACACCAAAAGCACTTTTTTTGGACCAGAAAAGTTCTACAACTTTCCGTGCACATCTTTACTGCTTGTACCCTTCTGGAAAGGGGTGACCCAACCACCCAGGAAAGATGCTTGGCACTGCACCATTTGCATATTAAAATTATTAGTCTTTTATCAGCTTCACATTAAAAACCCCACTTCTGTTAAGAGAAGACATTTTTATCTACGCAAAGTAAAAAGTAGAGAGAACCAGAATGTCCTAAAAATAAACATATTCAAAAAACCTCCCTGAACTGTTAATTTAATTGAAATATAACTCTTTGGTATTTTGTTAAATTAGCAATTAAAAAGGTCACAAGCAATTAAATGAAACAAAAGACACACTGTGTTCATCTACATTAATGCTGAACTGGGTCTCCTCGTGAATGACAAGATAAATTGTAATGGTGCCTTCAAAGACTTCACAATGTATTTTGTCAAAGTCAAGAGTGTTAATGTCTCTATGTGCCATGGATTACCATAATGTATCGTGTCAAAACGCTCGAGCTGCAATAACTCAAAGATGTATTGTGATAGATCAAATTTTGGGGTGGGGCCTAAAAGTGACTTGAGCACCAGCACTCAAATGGACTGACAACAGGCTCTGGAAGAATGACAGACTGTACATTCGCAACGTGGAAAGGTCTGAGGGACAAGCAGAAAATCCAAGAGAGGAAGGAGTTTGACTGCCTTGAGTAAGGAAATCAGGAAGGAGGACACAAGGAATGGTACCTGTCTTAAAGGCAAAACCAGGCCAGGGCAGGAGGGGGCAAGGGGAAGTAGAGAGGCGGTGAAGAAAGGGGCAGGCAGTGTCAAGGGCCTGCAGCAAAGAAAGAAAGAGGTGCTGAGAGAAAGTCAAGGGCTGGGAAGTGGCCTTGGGCTTAACAGCATTGGAAAGAACCCGGAACACAGAGTTCAGAGATGTAGATTCAAATCCTAACTCTGACACCAAGAGTCAAGAGTGGGAAAAACCTTGCCCAAGATTCCACTGTTGGCAAGAGGCAGAGCTGGGACAGATCCACTGGACTCTGGAGTCCATGTTCCTTCTCCAGGCCTTCTCCCTCTCCTCCCCCACACCACATTCCTACGAGCAGCAGCAAGGACAGAGACTGTGCAACTGTAAACTCTAAATCAGTGGCTCTCAAAGCGCAGTCTAGGACCCACCGGAGGGGGGATCCCCAAG